ATTGAATTTGAATTCAACGATACAACAATGCGAGTTTGATATCAACATTTTTGTCTTGATGTGTACTTTCAATTTAATGTTCACCTACTTGTCAGTATAATTTTTGTATTATTTGTATCCACCTCGTTTTTGAAAATAATGACCAATACTCGGGACTCGGACAAATCATTTTCCTCGTTTATTCATAAGACTCTATTTCACAATAAATTAGATAACTAATTTGGATACAAGCTTAGAATATGTATTTTCAATTAAATTCATTTAGATTCAATGATAATTTAAGTTGCAAACACAATATATAGATTTTGAGCCAAAACGCTATCTATCAGCTTATATTTCCAAGGGTTTTCATTATATATATATTTATATTGCATTTATAATAGTATAACAAAATAATTATTGATGATACATAACATAGGAAATTAAATATGTAATTATTAAATTTACTTCTAGCCATCATTAACTAGAATTTTTCTATAAAAATAATTTATTAATCTTAACATTCTTAACGGCATTTATTTTAAAATATCTATTTGATTTAATATTATAGAATTTAATAATGACTTTAAGTCATTTCTTATTTACATCGGCTCAGTCATCAAGTCTATTAAGTAAATAATTATAATAGATTATCTTATTTACCTCGACATATCCTTTGTGCATTCTATGTTTGACTAAAATAATCCAAATCTAAAAGGTCATACTTCAAAAATGAGATTTTATTTAGTCCTTATTTCATTATATTTTAATATGTGTACCTTTAATTTATTAATCTGGAATAAATAAAATAACAAAAGTCTAATTCATATAATAATTGTCTTAGACTAAATTCAGTTATGTGAACAATAAAATGTATTCACTAAAATATACACCAAAGAATATTTATAATTACCCACCCACACGGAAACTGTTTTATTTTTAAATATTTTTTTTCAATTCTTCAATTTATTTTTCTTAAATTTATAAACTCAAAAATAAATAATAGAAATTTATTTTTTAATTGATACTTACATAAATTTAAAAAAGAAATACTAACAATTATATAATTATTTATACATTCATATTTAATAGATGATTTTTTCTAAGAAAAACTAATTATTTAATATAGTATATGTCAATATTATTACACAAATCGATAATCACTATTGGAGTAAACATACATTGCAATTGAACTCGGGTGGAAATTAAAATATAATATGTTTGGATAAATGAAATTTGTTTATAACGATACGAAATATACGAAAACAAATATTTCATCGCCAAACTTTCCAATAATTGTTTTTGTTTATAATAATTTATGTAAATTATTATTATTATTATTATTATTATTTGACATAAAACTCAATTTTTTACTTTAAATCAACAATATTTTGATGATAAAATTAAATTAAATTTAGTCKTTTTTAATCAATATTTTTTTTGCTAAATTATATCTGGAATTTCACTCAAGATTATCAAATTACGAATTCTAAGAAAAATTTAAATGAACCCATTAATGGACGATAGTCCAATAATTTGAGTTTTTTAAAATTATCWATCTATTAATTCTAAAATAAATATTCAACCAATGATAGTAAATATTTAATATTCACATTATTACATTTACGTATGTACAGGCACAATTATTAAGAAAAAAAACGAATTTGAACTGTCTTAATATAGTTAATTCTAGTTAATAGCTACTAATTGTCTATGTTATTTTTTGACTGGCATTTATATACTCCGTGTAATAATTTTAAAAAAAATTGTGAGTATTTAATCTATTAATTTGTTTTATATCAATATTATTATGTTCTCGTAAAATGTAAATTATTGAATTGTTTGTTCTTATAAATTATATACTTAATGTAGAAATGCCGAACGTTAAAAATAATTTCGTACTCAAATCTACTAAGAGACATTTTTCCAAACTCTAGCACTCCAAAATCAAACCAGCTGAAACTTGGTACAGATGAACAAGTGTACTCCAGTGTGATATTAAAATAGCGCAAATCTAAAATCTATTATCAGACTGAGGCTCGTATTTTCAAAGAAAAATAATAATAAAATATTTTATACTTTGGTGTGGGACGTGTGGGTGTATGACAGATAATATTCTGATAGAAATTAAATTTCTTTTTCTTTCATATTATAACTCATATTTTCGTTCTATTTTTTATCTCTTTTTGGTTATATCGTAGTCCCAATCGAATTTAATACGATAAAAACCACTTATAACAAATACTTGTCAAGTAGTATTATCAATACACTAGTATTTTTTCAAAACTAAAAACAAACCTTTTTTTTTTTTTTTTTTTTTTATATAATATTTCTAAGCTATTGACGTGATATTAAATTTTTTAAATAATTGTTGTAAGTCATTTGAAACTCCGACCATTTGTATAACATAATATCATGGATACATTTAATTTTTCTTGAAATTGTAATATTGTATATTCTCATAATTCTTTTAAACAAATAAAATTGTTAAATTATTTTGCCAACAATGTTGCCTGCACTCTTATAATATGAGTAAGACGATATTATTATGTAGGTAGTAGATACCTACTACTTACTAGAATAGGTACGTMCTTTAGAGTAGAGAACAGCCGATATTATAATTTATAAATATAACATTGCATAATACGAAATTCCTCGCCGGTCTTCTTTTACCTAACCGTTTATAAATAAATCGAAAAACACTTACGCAAATCCGTGGTGTATAACTCGAATCAAATTGATTCTTTTTGTTTTTTTTGTTTTTGTGTAATACCATAATAAATCCTTCACAGGTGTTGACTTGCTCRACTCGGTGTACGTTGTGGCGCGCAGACTATATTACATTATGTACTCAGGTATATACCTATTATCTATACTGTATATACAGCTATATATATAAATAAGTATATACCTATGGACAATAGGTTTTATTTATTGGAAGCGCGGGCGTCGATAACCGATAAACATGGTATGACTTCGTTAGCGTGTTTATATGAAACGTTAAAGACTACCTAGACTTTATTTCGCTTTACTCTTTTTTATAAACGTCGTGTTCTTTTCTTTTCTCGCCTCACGAAACCATATGATACTATACTTTTTCGGTCGACGGTGTAGCACACTTTATGTTTTTTTGTATTTGTCGCGTAGTTATGGCACAGTTCGCAACGAATGTGTTGACGTTGTGTTATAAAAAAAAAATCCAATTTGTTTTCCTTGTGTGACAGAGAGAAAATGGAAATTTCTAGTGTTTATACAGGCCTAGCCATGGTGGTGTAATAATTTTCACCACCCCCGATTGGATGTATCATAAACCGTCATTGTTAGAAGACCGTATTATATTGAACAAATGTTTTTTTCCTCTCCATAAAAAACTTAGGTAGGTACGAAATTTACTCTGCTGGTCGATTTATTAAACTTTTTTTATTTCAATGTTTTTTATTTTTTTTATTTAGATTATGTCATGAAATATAATTAAATCTCAATTGTAATGTAAAGTAAATTAATATAAAAAAGTCTGTGTGTGTTTGTCAGCAATTTTTGCTTAACTATATCGATAGGCAATACTATCTAATTTTTCAACATTAACCCCACAAAAGGATGATTCATTATCTCACTAATTATTTATATACTTTATAATGCTGTAATGAGTGTTATAATATTTAAATCGACGCTTAAATAATCAAAATGATACAGTTAAGTCTATAAAATCAACTTTTACTATAACTGACCATAATAAAACTAAACATCATAAATCACAGTTAAAAATCGAAAAATATAAAATGCATCGAGTCACGTCATACGAAAAGTCTCTAACTAATATTATATCTTAAGATTCGTATAAAACTCAATAATTTTCTTTTCATAAAATTGGGAATAAATAAAAATTGAAGAGTATAGTGCAAGGATTTGTGTGCAATTTCATATTTATTCTATACTCTCGTATAGAATAAATAATAATATGATAAGGATCTATAATATGATATAAGTAAGTACACAATTCATGACACGGAGATTAAAATATGAAATTTGTTCAGCACATATTTTTGTATAGTTTTCAGTTTTTTAATTTTAGTTTTTTTTTCTTACTTATTGTAACTATTTAGGGAAAATATTTATTCATATTTAATTGATTTTAATGCATATCTATTAATAAGAATTTAAATAATGTGCAAACACAGTATCTTATATATAATAATATACGCTATATGGTCGTGTTGTTTGATTCTTAAAAATATACAATAAAATAATAGAATAATGGTTTAATAAATATTATGATTAATTAATTCTATCAGTTTCTATCTTCAATAATAAATTCTATCACAATTATTATACATACTAACTTGTATTTTACACAGGTAGGTACGCGGTACGCCATAAAAAGTAATTTAAGTTAATTATCAAGAAGTTCCATCGCTGGATGGATTCTTCACTCAAGTCATCAGTCCCTTTTATTTTATTTTTATTCTATTTCTTATCAACACTTATACTCATTGTAAAAATATATTTACATATTGTATAATTAAACAAAAAAAAAAATAAAGTTAATTAACGAAAATAAAACTCGAATTAAATCAATGAATCTTAAAATTGTGATTAATGTTAATTATTTATGTTTTTAACTTGTATTCCATCTCAAATACAACGTTATTTTGCAGTTTTTGTGTAGTATTTACAGTATGTTGTTAAAAATGTATAATAATTTACTTCAGTAGGTATCTAGTGCACGTAATGTAGTAATCATAGTTACAAATTCTTTTAATGTATTTTATTAAACAATTACAAAAAGAAATAAAATTATCATTTGGGAAAACAATATAGAAGAACCTAGAGGTTTCTTTGCACGTGATCTAAACACAATATATGTACGCGTTTTAGAGAAACAACATTATTTCTGTCATTTGGTATGGAACATTTTTAACAACAATATTTTATTAGAATTTAATATTATTATATGGTCTTCATGATAATGTATGGTTGGTGATTTTAATTTTGCTTGTGTGCGTGTGTCTATGTGCTTACGCATGCGCACGTGCATATTATATGCTGACTTCAGGCGATTGGCCGCTGAGGAAGACGACGAACTTTCGGAAGTTCAACCGGACGCGGTGCCACAAGAAGTCAGAGATTGGCTTGCATCTACATTCACGAGACAGATGGCTTGTACAAGGCGCAAGGGTGAGGAAAAACCCAAATTTAAGTCCGTCGCACACGCTATTCGTGCTGGAATATTCGTTGACCGCATGTATCGCCGTGTGATCAACGCTCCGATGATGACGTTCCCACCAGATGTCATCGAAGTGCTAAAGGTAAACTTACAATGTTCATTTCCTAACAATAAATAATAAGGTAAGTATACCAAATAACTTTTGCCATGTTATACACAATATTATAAAAAGGCAGATTTAACAACGAAAGAAATTTATTATCGACGCCATTATCTTAAATTATATTATGAATGATGGCATCTCAATTTACCTCAGACTTTTCTCTGACCATTTCGTTAAACAACTCGTTAGTTTGGATTTAGTAGTCTGCCAATATAATGATTTTTATCTGATTAATTTGATTTTCATCGCATAAATGTAGTACATAAAAACGTAATTAAATGTAAAATAATGAAAACTGATAACTAACCATGAGTAGTACAATTCTATTTCTTATGCAAATTAAAAAAAAATATATCAATATATTTTCGATACAAATGTTTAATTACTTGGGATATACAGACTATAAATCTAACATTAAATGTAATGCACATAATAATTATAGTTCATTTAAACTCCACCAGAACTCCACTTATCTCGAGTTTGAGATTAAAGTAGTGGTTTTTTATTAAAATAATTTATGTGCTATTTAATTCTTAGTAAGCACTGTAAAAGCCCGTCAATTAATCCACAGCAATTCGTTATTTTAGGACATTAATGATTGGTCTTTTGACGTATATAAGCTGAACAATTACGGAAACGGACAGCCACTCAAATACTTGGGATATGACTTGCTCAATCGCTATGGAATATTCCAAAAATTTAAAGTAAGTTATTATTTTTTTATACTGTAGTCAATTAATATATAGGTTAACTTTTTGATTTTAAAATATGATCTTAGCTGTACAATTTTATTTCAGATACTTAAACTAATATAACCATTAATATTAGGGCATGCTAAATTTGAAAAATGTTGTTTACTTGTATAGTTCATGTCTTACACTTCACCAAGATTTTACTCATAAACCCCAAACACCTGTTGAGAAACCGTCCTCCTCAGAAACACACCTAAAATAAATCCTGGTTGTGCCACTAATTATATTAATTGTTATCCACACGTTTTATTTTCGGAGTAAACATAAGTTAGGTTACTATCCTACATAATGAAATTTGAGAAAATATTTTTTCTTGTACTTTACTAGATATTCATTTCATAAAATCTATACGACGTATACTAAATTTCAAATTTTATTTTTGTTAAGTATACAATTTAAACATAAAATAATTAAGATGCATTCAAACAATATTTAATATTTTTGTATTTTTCCTATTACCTATTACTAACCAATATCATTATTATTAATTTAAATCTCCTTTAATTTGTGTATGTGCATAAAAAAAAATCTAATTTGAATCACAATAATATAACTAGATATATTATTATATTTGTTTCAATGCAAATTCAACATTTCGTTTCACACTTTACAAACGAGTATACTGAGAAAAAAAACCTGAAGCGCTCCAAATATTTGAGCTAATACATCAGATTTTAAAACTAAATATTACAACATTCTTATTCATACGCACAATAACCTGTAGTAGTAAGTAGTAAAGATGTTTTACATACCTGTATAGTGTATGTATAAAAGCATTAAAAACAATAAACGAAATAAAAATTATCTTACTCAAATTTATCACACCATGAGTYAAATACTTACTAAAATGCATGTACACATTTAAAATTCGTATCCAATAGATATTTATTATCAGATAAGATTATCGCATAATTTTACGATGATAACACACAGTAAATTAACAAATGTAAATACATAAACAACTAATTATTTTTTATTCACTGTCGCTGACCAAAACGACGTCTATGTTTTTTTGTATGTAAAAACTGTAAAGCGAAAAACTGGTTTGAGTATCAGGCAAGTCAGTCATCTCTGTTGAATATCGATTTACGTGCAACAAAAGACGTGCAACGTGACGAAAGACGCTACTGTTGTATTTATTCAACCCCTTCCCCATTTCCCCTTTAAAGGTTGAATATAGTATGCCAGAAATCTGCATAGAAGTGTACTCAACCACTTCTCAATGTTTCATCGCAATCGAATGAACGGTTTAGGAAAGTGTTAGAAACATACAAAAAAACATTCATTTTGACATAGATAACTATAAAAATACAATTTAACCGATTTCAAGAACTAGTTTCTGTTTTTCCCTATAATTTTAAAATAGGCGGAAAATAGTTACAATTATTTATCAAAAGCTACCTTCAAAATTCTTTTTGCTTAAAAACATATCATTGTAAAACCTATATATTATATTAATTGATCTAATAAAAATAAAAATTTCAAAACTTTTATAAAAAAATATAGTCTGATATAAACTAAAATACAATCCTGGTAAAAAAGTTTATAAATTTTCGGTAAATAATGATTATATCTTAGGTAGAACTAAATTAAATACATCAAATTGTAATTAATACATTTAAAACTATTTAGATAAAAACGTTTGTAAAATACTTAATTATAATGTCATAATATATTATTTTGGTTGAAATCAGTATCTACCGATGAAAATAATTAATTTTTTGTCAATTTATAGTATAATATTGTTTTTACCTATATAAAAAACTGTTTATAATTTTAAATAATTTAAAAACGAAATGAATAAATTAAAAAAAAATCAAATTTCAGCGTTTAAGAAAGAAAGGCATTTATTAAGAAAAAATGTAAACATTTCATTTGTATGATTTTTATTAGGTGCCATCGGTAGTTATGGAGAACTTTTTGTGCAGAATCGAAGAAGGCTACTCAAGACACAAAAATCCGTATCATAACAATTTACACGGTGCTGACGTTGCACAAACTGTACATTATATGCTTTGTCAAACTGGACTAATGGTAATATAAAAATGTTACAAAACGTTAAATTTTGCTTATTGTATAGTATCTGTATAACCTATTAAGAATACAATTGATAAGACTTGGAGGTTTGTAGTGACTTTGTCTCTCAAATATCACTAAAACCTACCAGTGTTTTTAAATCTCAAAATATATCTTGCATTTTTACATTATATTATTTTTATTTTACAGAACTTACCACTCTATTCCTTTAATATTTCTTTTTTTTTTTAATTAATCCAACATTTCAATTATGTTGATTTTTATTATTTTCTTACTGGATAAAATACCTACTTGTCAATGTCATCACAACAACTTAATGTTAAAATAGGTACCTACGCTCTTATTCCCTGTATGAAAAGTAGATATATTTTCTTAGACTTTACTTAAAATAAATAAGAAATAAACGTTGTATCTGTATCCCTAAATGAAAAAAATTATTTTATAAACTTAAATTTAAATTTAAAAAACATTATTATTTTAGATTTTTTCAAGTTTACTTGTATGCTTGGATATTATTTGTAAGGTGAAATCATTTTTTTTTTTCATTCTTCAATAGAGAATCGATGTTTGTGGTTGTTAATAATATATGGCAGCATTTAAACACCTCGTATTTTTGTTGTAGAATTGGTTGAGCGATTTGGAAATATTTGCAATGCTAATCGCTGCAATTACACATGACTTCGAACACACTGGAACCACAAACAACTTCCATGTAATGTCTGGTACAGAGATTGCTCTATTATATAATGACCGCGCTGTATTGGAAAACTACCATATCAGTTCCACATTCAGGTTATTTATGTTAAAATAAACAACTTAATTGTGAACAAAAATTATTTAAATAAACTTGTATGAAGTTTTAGTATTTCATGATAATATTCGTTAAAATTATTAAATAAAAAAAAGATTAATATCGATGTTTTTGCTAACTTTAATTAATTTTATAGTTAAGTAAAAATTAAATTATATAACCAACAAATTTAAAATCACGTTTTTCTATTTGGAAATATTTTATATTTATAATATATTAATTATTTAAATTATTTTATTCAAAATTTTAAACTATTAAATAATTCATAATACTAAATTACATAACAATAGTCTTATGTTTTTAACAATGAATTATTTTATAGAATATTAAAAGATGATGACTGTAATATATTACAAAATCTTACCAAAGAAGAATTCCGTGAGTTCCGTACACTAGTCATAGATATGGTGTTAGCAACAGATATGAGTTTCCATTTTCAACAATTGAAAACTATGAAGCAGCTTTTAGCATCACCAGAACCTACGTAAGTATATAACATTATTTTTAATCAAATGATTAACATTAAACTATCGTATATAAGATTTTAAACAATAAAATAATTATTTGGCGCACTCATTGAACTGATAATTGTTATATTTACTTAAATTTTAGTTGAACTAAAATATATAAGCATATCAGTATAATCTTTTGTAAAACATAATAGTAATTTCTGCTTTACTAGTTGAAAACCAGTGTATTGTACCTTATACATGTTGTAATGCAATTTTTTATTTATGTTAACATTATAGAATCGACAAATCTAAAGCAATGTCAATGGTTTTGCACTGCGCTGATATATCGCATCCCGCCAAAGAATGGGATTTGCATTACAGGTGGACAAGCCAATTGTTGGAGGAATTCTTTTTGCAAGGAGACATGGAGAAAAAACTAGGACTCCCATTCAGTCCGTTATGTGACAGAAATAATACACTAATTGCTGAGTCCCAAATCGGTTAGTATTTTAATTCACCCAACTTAATATGTTAAATTAGCTATGATAACAATTATTAAATTATAGTACAATACTACAATAATAAATATTGAAAATATAATGATAATTTTTATTCCTCACTTTATTTACAAAATTATAAAGTAACAAATATTACAAAATATGAAAACAGTTATTTTCCTTTCTAGGATTCATTGAGTTCATAGTTGAACCAAGCATGACCGTTTGTAGTGACATGTTGGAGTTAATTTTGGGTCCAATCAATTTAGTTAATGGATCCAAGACTGTTGATACCAGTTTGGTGGTTGACGACAGTGAAGAAAAAACAGATAAATCAAACCAATCTGACGTAGCTATCGCTTGCACAGCAATGAGCTGCAGCATTGGAGATAACAAAGATAGTATAAAAGAAGATAAAGATATGAAAAGTAATAAAGATGTAAATGATACTAAAGAAACTCAAGATTCCAAAGACAAATATAACACGCCTTCTACAAGCAAGGAAACAAAACATGAAGATACTGAAAAAGGTAAAATTTTTTATTGATAACAGACCCTCGGTAACATGGGCCATTAGGTTTGTAGAAAAAAAGGTAATTATAAGATGAAACTGAACCAAATTAAACATTTTCTTGAAAATAATATTAAAAATAACGTCCTATAGTTGTAGAATCTACAAAATTAATCCATAGCCTCTAACGATTCACAATCGCCGAACAAAAATATTTCATCACTCAAATTCTGTTTAGATTCAATCCATTTACACAACTTCAATATTTTTTTAAACACATAATTATGTATTAATTACATCACTATTCACTAACTAACGAATATTTTACTTTATAATTTAAAGACTTAGAGTAAATATATTTTACAATAAAATTACAACAAAATATTGTTGATGTATTTTTCGACTGTAGTGAGTGCAACAATTTTTTTCACAAAAAAGTTTAGCTAATGTTTTCAAAAACTCCTGAGAAAATCAAAAATTATTATTGAATAATCATCACACCGTTTTCAATTGATAATTACGGTTATTCAAAAAGTTTTTAGCACTCTTAATATAAAATGAAATATTAGGAAAAATGAAATATAACCAAATCATTATTCGCTACTTTATAATGAATCAATTATTTAATGAATACATTTTATAAAAAAAATTGGATATCGCTCTCTTTTACAATAGGTATAAGTAGATCGCTATAATAAATGACGATGTTAAATTTAAATTCAATGATGTAATATCATCGTATACAAAAATGATTCTAAGCCGGGATGGGCTGTCATTCAGTTAAAGTTAAGTAACAATAAAATAACTAATATCGTAGTACTTTGATTAAATATCTATTTTGTCCAAATTTGAACTTACCAGTGTTAATAAAAATACTGTAATTTTTTTATATTTGTTGGTGACATTATGAACTATTTATGAGATACATTGTTTTAAATTTTCAATCCTTAGATATAAAAACTGTTAATCGATAAAACTTTTTAAAAAAATCGATAAAATTGGATATTTTCTCATACCTATAGCTCAAAATATTTAAATGGTCAATAGAAAATGATAATATTTATTTATTTATTTAAATATGTTGTATATCAACGGGTATATACTATATACTCTTTTACAATTTATATAAAGAAAACATATCAGATAAAAACTAAAAACTAAATATGAGTAATGTGTAGTAAATCCTAACAAAAACAGATAACAAAATATAAAAATAATACTGAATTAAAAGTAATATATATATATAAAATTATAGTTAGACTAAAAACATTTTTTTTTTTTTTTATTAATCAATCCATATTTTTTAATAATAACATAGATTTAAATTTAAAACAATTGCGTGAGAGAAAAAAATAACTAAATGTATACAAATTTTACTAGCTAAAATTAAAGCTCGAGGGAAAAAAGAATTGATACCACTGTTCGTTTTATAATGAGGAACTAAAAATAAATCTGAATTACGTGTAATAAGATATGTAATTCGAAAGCTGATTTCAGACAACAATTCGGGACACACAATATTGTAATTAATAAGATCATAGACAAACATGATATCATTTAATTTACGTCTAAGTGAAAGAGAAACAAGGCCAATATAATCTTGAGTTAGATTGAGAGAGTCCCTACATAATGGAATAGTTGACAAGTATGAAATCCTTTTAAAAAATGTATATTGTACATTGTCCAAATCCTTTCTGTATTTCAAGTATTTGCATGACCAGATTACGGAGCCGAAATCAAGATTGGACCTAACTAAAGATGTATATAAGGTTTTTAAGCATAACGGATTCTTAAAATCTTTAGTATTTCTATTAATAAAACCTAAAATCTTTAATGATTTATTAATTATCATATTATGATTCATTTTAAAAGAAAGATCACTTTCAAAACAAGTACCAAGATCTTTGATTGAATTTACTCTAGTGAGAGAACACATTTCAATATTATAGTTAAAAAGATTGGATTTTTTTACGTGTAAATGTTATCGTATGACATTTTTCAATATTTAAGAAGACGCCACACCCGCATGTGTTGTCTTCGTCGTACAAGTGCGTAGCATAGCAAATTTTACACTCAGAAAATCTCGTTTATCTCCTTCAATTTAAAATTTAGAGTGAATTGACCTATTATAAAAATTAAAGGCGAGATTATTACCAAGGGCATCTCATAGGCTTTTTATTATATTTTAATTTTAAACCGGATTATGAGTATTTTTTGATATAAAAATAATTTACAATTTTAAAATACTCATGACTCGCTTCAAAATTAAAATATAATAAAACGCTTATAAGATGCCCTCCGTAATAATCGTGCCTTTAATTTTTATAATAGGTCAATTCACTCTAAATTTTAAAWTRAMGSAGATAAACGTRATCTGCTGAGCGTAAAATTTGCTATGCTACGCACTTGTACGACGRAGACAACACATGCGGGTGTGGCGTCCTCTTAACGGTAATAAATTTAATTTACTCCATAAATGAAATTTATTAATATTAGACTGAAGAGATTCAGCATCATTTAAAGAATTAACTGTACAAAAAATCTTCGCATCATCCATAATAAAATGTTTGTAGAACTATCAAGGACTAGTAGGAGATCATTAATAAAAATTAAAAATAGTAAAGGACCTAAATGGCTGTCCTGAGGAACATCACCTGTAATATAAACATCTGGACCAGATGATCTGGTGATAATTTTAAGTATCTGTGGTTATTAGTTTTATCAACGCCACCAAAACTAAAACAATTTTGTCATTCTTTAACTGATTTTGCATAAAACAAACCACGTTTTTCCTTATTTCGTTTTTGTATTTCCCAACGCTTTTTAAAAACTCCTGCAATTTTTTGAATTTACCTTTCAAAAGTACCAATTAGGTTCACTCTTCCCTCTTTCCTAAAGAAAATTTAAGAATAATTTCTACTAAAAACATTGTTTATAGGTAGGAAAAAACACACCAATGTAAAATCAATACATTCATACTCTGCTCAGAATTAAAAAAAAAGCTTTTCAATGATATATTTATCGTTGAAATATTGTTCTGCATTCAAATAATAAAAACTGATTTTGATTAATAATATATGTATATGTACAAGTACAACTATTATATTTAAACAGTATCTAATCACTAAATTATTGAATATAATATTTTTGAAAACATATTTTTTTAAGAAGAAATTATTGACTATAACCTACTTTATACTGATAAAAATTTCAGAATCAAAACAAGAAACTAAAGCTGAAGACCCCAAATCTAGCAACAAATTGTATAAAATAAAAAAGCCATGGAATGATTGTTTGGCCATAAACAAGATGAAGTGGAAGGTGCAAGCAGCAAGAGGTAATTTAAATATGTATTTAAACTGTGTTAAATATCGAGCAAAAATATATTCCATAATATTTCTGTATATTAATTGCTTAATATGTTAATTTACAGAAGCAAAACTCAGAGAGTCAAAAACGAAATATACGATGCGTGATATTAGAATGCCACTTCCTGGTGAACTTGTAGAAGATGAAGACAAATCGTCTTCGACAGATGTAGAGAAAAATTGAATAATATACCATGCTGCAGTTTGATTTTTAGCCATATGAATTTTAAAATATAATTAGACTTTCTTTAAATAATTTGAAAATATTAGCATAATATTGTAAATATTTATCAGAGGTAGGTACTCCTCTTAAATTTGAGACAGTAAAAAATGATTTAAATTAAAATATAAGCTCGCTTTTAAATAGATAGGTATATAAGAGACAGTTAACTTGTATATATTTGTGTTTGTATTTGGTGTGTGTGTTTGCGGGTGTAAGTTTGTTTGGATGTATATTTATATTTATCTATATGCATGTATGTATGCTTATATAATATAAATATATACCTAAACATATAATGTGTATATATTACAATAGTTAGTTTCATAGTGAGTATTTATAAAAATCATTATATTTATTGAGTGTGTATATATTATAGGTACTTCCACATAATTTTTTCGAAAAATGGTGTTTTAACTATACCTACGATAAGAATGTTTTCAATTATTAATATCATTGTTAATTTGTCCATTTTTAATTTTTCAATCACGATCATAACTCTAATCTTTTTATATCTTTACATATTTAGAAATCATACTCCAAAACAGAATGAACAAATATTTCATTACTTATTTAGTTATCTATAAAGTATTTATTATCTACGAAAATCATATTATTTCTGACAATAACTTAGTATGAATAGTACTAAATCTAAATTATTTTTAATCAATTTCTTTAACTTGAAACTTGACTAGGTATGAAAATATGAATTATGCCTATATATTGTACATAGATAATTGATATTTAATTTTTAAGAAATTGTAAAAATAGATATCTAAATGTAATTTTTGTTATTAATAAGTGAGGTTGCATTTTATTTTTTGTAAATACTATACAATAGTATTAAATGTTAAATATTTAAAATTATGTTTATGACATATGTAGAGTAATAATAATGTTCGAAATAAGCTAAGATCTATTAAAATATTTTTCTGCTTTGCTCAATTAAATATTGAAAAACTATTCATGTGTTTGCACAACAAATTTTAAGATACAGTTTAGGAGTTAGTGCATTCCAGTTTTCATTTTATTTGTTAAATTATTATTTTATCTACCTTATAACGATTATTATAGACATTTTCGTTTCTAATTCATCATCATGCGATGTGCATTGTGCACATATCGTTGGACAATAAATTACTCCAACAATATTTAAAAATCCTATATATTGAGTTACAAGCTTATAGTATATTAGTCGGCTTTAATAGAACTAAATCAGATATTCATATATACATATATATTATGTACTACAAAATTATAAAAATTGGTATCAACGAAATACAAATCGTTTGCCTAAAAAAAAAACTTTAAAACTCAAAACATTTGAAAAAAAAATATACATTAAACCATGCTTCTTGTTTTACAATGTACATAAACTACYAAAAATAATTATTAGAAATTTGTTTGTTCGGTGTAAGCTGATTTAAGTTTAATATTTATATTTTCTGTGGTACATATTATAATGTTACCTATAGGTAACCTAATATGATATTTGCGAGTTATAAAAATGTATGGGTACTTCGATATTGGATATAACGCCGCGCCGTGGACGCCGAAAAGAGCATAATACAGCGGCGTAGCCAGGATTTTTTTTCGGGGGTGGGGGGGGGCTGATCAATTTTTTACACAGCGGTGCATTAAATACCTATTAGCACGGCCGAAGCTATAGAAAACTAACAAAATAAAGATGACAATTTAAAATTAGTTAAATACAATTTAAGACTTTTTGAGTGAATATTGTAGACCATTGAAATAATTTAAGCAGAACTTTGCTTCCCGGAATAGAKCAATGGATCGGCCACTGTTTTAACTAAGTAAATATGTAATCATTAGGGCTGAATACATTTCAAATATATTAAACAGTAGGTAGGTACCATCAAATGACRAGTTTCGTTGAGTTAGGTGCTATGATTTACATACTCGGATATAAAACAACTATATCATCAAACATTGAGTTGATTAATTGAAACGATGAAAATTAATAAATGTATAGGTATACTATATTTTACATTCGAATATTGTATACATTATATGATGTAAAATAATAGGTATATGGTTATATATTATATTATAACCTTATACGATTTTAATTTTCATAAGGAGGCGGAGTTCTGAACCAATAAGTCAAAGATAGGTGAGTGGCTTATAATTATTTTGAAATATTTTATATTTCCACCATGTATACTTAAACATCGGTGAAATAACAACATGATCATTTTTATTGAACATATTAATTGTTTGAGTTATAACTAGAAGCTTTTTTTCTGTGGAATGGAGGGGATTTTAATTGATTGCGCCTGAAATTTCTGGTTTGATTTAATTTTTACGAATTACATGTTTTTTAAACATTTTAATTAAAATTCGAAAAAAAATGTAGTCTTAATCATTTTTTTCAGTAGATGTAGTAATAATCTATTAAGGCCTTAAGGGTTTATTTAATTATTTTGTTAGCGATTAGTGTTTAAAATCTAAATGGTTATCAAGTTGTTCCTTTGCTAGTTATGACCCAGATAAAACTTCATGTTTTTGTCGGTGTCTTATAAAATACTAACGTCTATTAAAGGAAAAACAACTAAAATAATTCATTAAAATTTTAATCTACTTAATTAGGTATAAAATATATAGGTTTAAATAATATGTTTTTTATTTAAAAGTATCAAAAATATTTGAATTTACTTATACTACAGTTATTAAACATAGGTGTAAGCATCTTCCATCAATCATCATTGATATTGATACAATGGCGCACACATTTTTAGGTGTCCGAAATCCCGAAATTTTTTTTAAAACGGATGACTGATTGATTGGCTGTGAATGTTGAGATTTATAAAGAGAAATAGGTATAACAACAAGAAAATATGAACAAACAAATAAATTTATAGGATTTAAAATGTTCGGGTTCTGGTTCCGTTTTCATTTGAGAATTGCTTTAAAAGGACGATGTGCGTCACAGATGTTGTATTAATATATAAAATTGAATAATTATATCATAAACTTTATATTGATATTTTTTTTCCAATATCTCGATTTTCTCTCAAATATATAGGTAATATAAAAACTTTTTGTTTAATATAATATTAATTGTTTAATGTTAAAAATATATTACATATTTTAAGTTCATAAAGAGACGGGATTAAATAGTGACACATAATAAATACATTTCTTTTTATATTAGTTTATAATATGTAACACAGTTTAAAACAATGATTATAGATCCGACCAAAAATAAATATTCACCCGTCCATTAATATTGATTATTGTCAAGCAAACACCATTTATATTATAATTAATTATTAATGATCAAAATATTCTATAATATCTATATAATAACTTTTAATAATATAATAAAAATACAGTGCCAAATTTGAACAAATTAAGCGGTAACATCCAGTTGTATGCATTAATACCTACATAATCCATTATGGATAATAATAAATGGTTCAAACATACACTGTGGGTGGTGTTTCAATAATAATTATTGCTATTTTCAATAAACGAACTATAAAAAAAATTGTGATTTTTTCCCTCCTCGATTATTTATAAATTTTCGTGTTGACCACTACGCTCTAATGGCATAATATATTGAAATACCTATTGTCTGATTAAATAATATACCTCCAGACTATTATATATTATATACCTATATATAAATCCTTTGAAAGTAAAATCAAATACTACTATCAATATTATAAGTAATGTACCTCTTATTTTATTTATATTAAACCCGAGTAACAGAAATCTTAAACATACTTTCTTCTTACACAATATTAATACCTAGTGACCACATCCAGATATTATTCTGTTTACATAGTTTTGGACCATTCTGTACCTATAGACAGGTACCAAAAAAATAAGACATGGTCGTATATAATAATATTATACATCCTATATTTATCGATTTTAGATGTTTTAGATTTTTGTTGTTGATTATAACATGTTAATTTATACTTTAAAGACTATCTAAATGTTTTAATTTGTATATAATTTTCAAATAATACTTCTTATTTATAAATTATATAATATTTTAATAAATATAAAAATATTTAAGTATACTATATATTATTGAATGTAATCAATTGTTATTAAAAACATTGATAGTAAACACATACATATTATATTATATTTATATAGATATAATAATGACTATATCTATGATTACTATTTGAATTGTTATATGTTTTATTATTAATGCTTAAATAACGATTGGATTAACATAATGATTTATATTGGCGATTGAATTTCCCACAAAATGATATGAAAATGTTCACTGATATTTTTACATTCATATCTACAGGGTGTTTAAACAAATGAAAACCCWAGAACCAATTTTTCGTGAGAATACGAAAAATTATCAAGACTTATATTATATCGCGACGTCTAACATCTTTTATTTTGTTATGAATATAACATCTTTGATGAATTCGTATGTTTGGTTTTTCTTTTAAGGTTATAATAATATATTCATACTATAAATAACATCGAATTAATGTGATTTTTTTTTTTTCTCAACTTTAATATCGTTCGTAAATTTCGATATAGTTTATGTAATACGTTATTACCTACAATAGGTATCTATATTCGTTGATGTATCGATGATTATACCTATCCATAAACCGTTTTAATAATATACCAAAAAATACCTACAATATGACGGTAATATTTAATTCACAATTTATTATAATTAGTTACCTACCTATATATTATACATAGCCACATAGKCATACATGATAGGTAATTGCTAATTACAGTTATGGTTATACTAATATTATATAATTTATTATGTTCAAACCTTGTCATMATTACATGCCGTTAATATCGTGCACCCTGTACATGTGAAATAAACAGTTTAAAATGTCCATTCACATAAAAAMAWTTTTWWAAAAACTAAAACCGTTATTACAATATATCATTGGGTAAATTATTTAAAATCAATTAAACTACTTCATTGATAATTTATTTATTACAGTGTTTAGAATAGATATTATAATGTAGCGTATTAGTATGTGTATTGATAGTCATATTTACTATTAAGTTTGTGTTTAAATTTATTATGTATACCTACCTACCTATATCATATTATTACCTACTTATTATTTCACTATAGTTCTTATATTATATCATGTTTGATTAATTTGATATTTGTTTGTTCATTTCTTTATTTTTGTTTTGCCTGATAATAAATATGAACGGAAAAAATGTATAAAWYTATATCGTTAT